CTGATGTAAAACTGATTTGCACTGTCCAGCAGTCTGTTAATTTCCAGTCTTGGTGGCTTACCGTGCTATGAATTATTAGGATGGCTTCTATCAGCTTCTTTAGTAGTGATTAAAGTAGTCAGCACTGCCTATCCTCTTTTTCTTTCTGATTATGGCTCAATGGGGCATTCTAGTGTAAAAGAGAAATGGATTCTGTGTGCAGGGTGACACAGTGGCCGCAATAAAAAGTGACAGAAATTCGTAACACCACTGCTATTGGAGGGGATGAAATGGCAACTCAGAGAGTCAGTAAGTAAAGGAGACAAGATTCACCATACTCAGGGGCTAGAGACATTAAAGGAATCCTATAGAGGAAAAAAAACATCCCACAACATTTTATGGTAAAAATGGCACAGTAGATGCTATGGGTAACTGCGTAGAACAGTGTGCCAACTGGAAAGGCAGCAGTGGAAGGACCAGAAAAAGAGTGTCTGCTGCAGGAAGGATCAGCTTTCAGAGATGTGTTTTAGAGAAAGAGGTGGTAAGATTATTTGGACATGGACTGGATGTAAACAACAAGTTAGAGGAATTGTCTCCAGACTGTGGACTAAGAGAAGAGAGCATCTATCAGTTGCAGTCGGTATGTAATACTGGAAGGGGTGAATTAGCGGTCAGGGAGATTTAGCTCATTATTTAAATGAATATGGACAAAGTTAAGGGTGGTGCTCACACCGGGACACTCTGTTTTCCCAGGCCATATACATATGCATAGAACACCGGCTGTGTACCTTCAGTTCACCTTTAAATAAGCAGTGTGTTTTACAGGGTGTGTAGTTACAGCAAGGTAACTCTGAAGATAATTCTGCAGTGACAAGTAGTCTGGTGAGGTGAGCATTGTGTAAAGGTAGAGTTATAGCATTAGGGTATAATGGTACAGCTACAGCTACTAACAGGGCTAGGAAAGCTGTATGGTGGTCTCGACTTCATTTTTAGATTCAACGAGTACCAACAGATCTGGTACTGCTGTCACTTGACTGACTTCACAGGAAAAGAAAGGAAACAAAAAATCCTGAGCAGTGGTGGAAGGATTTCTTGATTATAGACACAACATACAAGTTAAATGCTAGCAAGAATTTTCTCTGAGATATCAGAGTAAGAAGACTAATTTTTTTATGGCTGAATGCTGTAGAATATATACGGAAGTGCACAAAATGAAAATGCTTTTGAGAAAAGCTTCTGTGGGTGCAGCTTGAGCCTGCAGAGCTTTGTCAGGGAGCCAATCACTGCCATCTAACGGTAAACTGGAGAAAGAGATAAATTGTACTGCAATCTTTACCCAGTCTGAGTGTTTTGGTTACAAAGATGGTTTGATGTAATTAAAGTAGAAGTCATTAACATTGCCTTTATTTTTTTCTTTTTGGTCATCAAAATGTGCACTTAATAACCTAGGTTGGGAGTTTCCAAGACCCCACACAGCTGGAGTGTAAATCTTAAGGATGAGGGTTTTCATGGCCCTTCTAACGGCAGCACAGAGGAACCTGGTGACAAGGCAATCACACGACACTGACGTTCCTTTACAGCCCAGGGCAGAATGGATCCTGATGATAACCTTGGCAAGGGCTGGCATCATGGCAGAGACAAAGTAGTAACATGAAGTGTTCCTAAGTAGAACAACTGCAGCAGTTGTTGTTGTAGCTAGACTGGGAGATGGAGCAAGTGTGACAGAGGTGATGTCCAGTTTGGAGCTGTGCAATGGGGAGATAAACCAGGTGCATGATGCCTGCTCTTGGCTGCCAAGTTACATTTTCTCTGTGAGTGAAGAGGGACCTGAGAGCAATAAAATTCACATTCTGAAGACTGTAAGTCTTACAGGAAAGGGTGTTGAGCAGTGACTTAATTGCATTCTGGATTTGAAATGGGCCTCTATATCATCATATTTGAAAGATATAGAAGATAAAGGCACTTCAGACAAGTTCTTTAATCCTACATGAGTCAAATCACATTTTAAGGTTCTGAAAAGAGCAGATTGAATGGATTTTTTTTTTATTTTTTTTTTTTTGTTTTTTTTTGTTGTTGTTGTTGTTTAGTTTTGTTCTGTTTTTCCATTGGGGAGCTAGAAACTCTGCTCAGGGAATCTCTGCTGTTTAGAGATACATTTTCTGTTCTGACTCGTATGTCACTATGAGTGCAAGAAAGTGGCTTGTACTTGATTTTTTTCCTTGATAATGATGTATGTATATTTTAAGATGCATGGATGAAAAGTACAAAAAAACTAACAGCTGTATTCCCTACTGAGACTGGTCAGAATCTCTCTGACCTGGGCAATGGAACACTCAAAACAAAGATGTAAAGATATTTACAGCTTCCTTTCCAATGAGGCTTTCAAGGAGGGAAATAACTTTCCATAGAACTGCTTTGCTACAAAATATCCCTGACATAAAAATCTCTCCTTCAAAAATTTAATGGCAAAACTTAGGCAGGTGTTAAAACTAAGCTGTCAACTATAATGCCCATGCTAATTGCACAGCTGCCACGCAACAGTACCCCCACAGCACTTCCTATACTTGCTGATAACTTTCTAAGGGAGGACTGCTCTGCCAAGTGAGGTGAAGGGCATTTTAAAGTAGAAATTCAAAGGTGAAGCGCTTTTCCATCTGCCAAAATTACCCCAAACTTTGCACAGCTCTTTGCATCAGGACAAGACGCTGTTGGTTGGATGTGACTGCTCTCTGTACCCATCTGGTGTGGATAAGGAAAATCTCCCAAAGGCTGAGCAGCTGAAAAGTGGTCACGAGGAGAGGTGCGAGTGAGGTGTGGCAGAGGGATGGACCTGGCTAATGGCTGAGCTGCAAAGAGAAGGGATTATGGGTAGCCATTGGTGGTGGAGGTGTGAAAAGGGAAATGCAGAGCAAAGGAAAGAAATGAATCTAAAGACGTGAGACACCCAAGATATGGTGTGACTGGGATTAGATTGTCATTGTGCAAATGAATCCGTGGGCGAGAGACTTGGACATCTGCTGGAGGCATTTCTCTTGGGAGAGGTTTCCATTTCCCGTTTCCTGGCTTGGGAATGCAGGCAGAGGGGCAGAAAGCACACACTCTGGCCCTTAACACTGAAGTCCCTGTGGTTTGGTCGTGCGGTGGCAGAAAGCAGCTCTGGAAATGACAGATGAGAAAATCCAGCATCTTTGGTTTTACATGGAGAGGTTTCGGGGCAGGAGGAGTACTCAGACCTAAATTAGTAATTTATTTCTGCACTTTCAGCAGTTGTTGTAAAGGGAAAATTATAGGTATGTTGTAAATATAATTAAAAATAAATATATGTGTATATATACACACACAGGAAAAATATATCATTCTGGGAAGGCTCTTCACCGGAGGGCGGTGGGCATGGTGAAGGCTGCCCAGAGCAGCAGGCACGGCCCCGAGTGCCAGAGTTCACAGAACACTGGGACAGCACTCTCGACACGGGGTTTGATTTTGGGCGGTATGGTGTGGAGCTGCTTGGGTCTCATCCAACTTGGGATATTCTGTGATTCTAGGACACCAAACGGGACGCGGTCCGTGCCAGCCTGGGTGCGACGGCAGATGGCCGAGGCCAGGCCTGTCTCTCGCGAGCGCAGCTCCCTTTCCAGACGGCTGAGGAGCCAGCGGAGCCGGGGGATCCTCCGAGTCCCTGACGCCCGGCGGGCCGAGCGGGCACAGGGAGGCAAAACGGCCCGCTCCCCGCCTTCCGCGGCAGCCGGCCAGACCCCGGCAGAGGGCGCCGAGCGCGGGCTGAGGCGACTCCGCCTCCGGTCTGCCAGCAGCGGCGCAGGGACGGCGGCGGCGGGCCCGGGCCTGGGGCTCTGGGGTACTCAGGTAACCGCGGCGGCCTGCCCTGCTGCGAGGCTCCCTCCGGAACGGGGCGGCGCGTCGCCGAGGCCGCGGGGCGGAGGGAAGCGCTGGGCCGCCGTTACCCCCAGCGACGGGACGGGCCGCGGTCGGGCCTGGGCTGCGCGGCCTTCGCCGGGACGGCGGCCGAGGGCGGCCGTCAGCGACGGGGCCTGGGCCGAGGTGAGGGCCGCGCTGGGCCGGCCCTCAGCTGCGGCAGCCGCCCGCCTGGAACAGTGTCTGCGGCCCTGCGCTGCTGGGAGCTCCGCTCCGAGCTCAGCGCTGTGCCTGGGGCGGGTGGCGGCCGGGGAGCCGCCCTTGGCTCGGGGTTTGGCAGCTCCTGTGCCCCCGGGGCGGGTTTGGATCGGCGGCTTAAAATAACAGCGATCGCTTCAGAGAACTTTTAGCAATTTGTCCCCGGCTTGAGGAAAGGCGTTAAGTCTTCAGGGAGCGGCACACCGTCCTAAAATTTTCAATTGTATGCCTAGTAGTTGTAATTGCTGTGGTGTGAGCAGAGCCGTGGGGGTTGTGGCTATTTTTCTGCCACCAGTAGTCACAGATCTTTCACTGCTGCGGCTGACTGCACAGGAATCCCATTCTGCTTTCAGCAGAGTTCACTCTGGTATCAGGAGAACAACCTCTGGTGTCATGCAGTACACACACAACTGTACAAAAGCCAGCATCACATCTAGCTAGAGAGGTGCCCCCAGCTGAGGGGTGGGCCTCAAAAGGAGCATCACCAGGGCTGCTGGCCCCAGTCCTGTTGCGGTGTGCAGAGCTGAGCTGCTTCTGCTGGAGTGCTGCGGTGGTGCTCGTTCCCACTTGGAGCACTTTGCAGCCTTTCCTCAGCCAGGAGCATGGTCTGAGCAGAGCCTGGAGTTTAGAAACCTTCAACTCTTGGGGTTTTACTTACGGCTTACAGGTTGCTTTCACCAAGGAGGAGTCATAGCAGGCGTAACACTCTCTTTGCTTTATATGAAATATCACACAGAATCACAGAGTGGCCCAGATTGGAAGGGACCTCAAGGCTCATGAATCTCCAATCCCCCTGCCACATGCAGGGCCACCAACCTCCACATTTAATACTAGACCAGGTTGCCCAGGAATCTGGCCTTGAACACCTCCAGGGACGGTGCATCCACAACCTCTCTGGGCAGCCTGTTTCAGCAGCTCACCACTCCTAGTAAAGAACTTCCCCCTGACATCCAACCTAAATCTTCCCTCATATAATATATGAAATAGCTACCTGGCTGCTTCTTTCACGAATGGTGTGTTAAATGGAGGGAGGAAAATGCCACAGGTATGTTTAAACAGTTAATATTAAACTGCAGAAGAGGAACAGAGTATTCTATTCCATTGGGGGTTTCAGCGCTGGCTTCTGTCTGATACTTTACCTCTCGGTAGCGATGGGCAGTGTGTGAGAAAACACAGCAGGATGCCCACTGCGTTTAGATGGTGCACTGTGCAAGGGAACTAGATAACCATCTGTCTGTTTGTTTTAACTGTTGTGCTGTCCCTGGAGAAATCCTTCCCAGTAGTCAAAGCGCTTGCTTGTTTTTAACTATGAATGCTTATTTCATTTTAGGGTGTACCATGACTGGCTTCAGGCTCCCCATCACTGTGTTTAGAAAACTGAATGTTTGGGTTGGACTGTGGGAGAAATTCCCCTCTAATAAACTCTTTCCCTCTTGGAGAAGAAGCATTTTCTGTAGCTGTCAGGCAAGCACAATAAATGACCGAAGATGGTTTAGCTTTTTCCCAGTAAAATTCTGCACACTAAGACTTTCTCCAGAGTATGTCTCAGTACTCTCTCTGCGGAACAAAAGTAGCAAAAGCTCTAAGAGGAACAGACAAACTGTACAGGAGGAGGAGGAGGAGGAGGAGGCAGATGAACAAGAAAGTGATTTGGAAGATGAATTGGAAAATGACCCCAACGTAGTAAAAGATTACAAAGATCTTGAAAAAGTGGTGCAGTCTCTACGATATGACGTGGTCATGAAAGCTGGCTTAGACATTGCGAGAAAGTAAGTATGAAAAAGAACCTGCTGGTGAGAGAGATGGCATGTAGATAACACCGGAGGTTTGATCCCCTTTATTGTTAGAATACCCACTTTTTAATATAGCTGTTTTGAGTTGGGATATCTGGGGTGTTGTTGTTTGTTTGGGGCATTTTCTATCAATTACCATGTATTTAAAATGAAGAAAACGTACTAAGTAATGCAAAAAGATCTAATTTGAGACAGAGGGAATAAATGACATGCTATTTAATGGCTGTAGAAATAGATGAGGGTAAGGTCAATCTAACACACCGGGTCAGCCAGATATGTACACTCTACATCAATAAGTCTGATCTTGAACCTATAAAAGCCTTACGTTGCAGTGTTGTTACTATAATTTGATCACTTACAAACAATTGAACTGGCTGGTGCAGGATGGAGGACTTCATTTGTTGGGTATTCAGGAGACAACTCTTCAGAAACAGCTTTTTATTTCTTTTACCTATAGCACAGAGCACCCTCTGTCTACTATTTCATTTACCATCTGTGAAAGATTTCTTCCAGTTCAAGACTGTCCTGCCCTAAAATAAGTAATCCTTTATGTGCAAATTAGAGTTGTGGAAATATGCCTTGCATGTGAATGGTTTTCTTGTGTGTTTGCAAGTGAACAGTTGCATTTGTTCTGCTGCATAATGTCAATGCAATAAAACCTTGTTTTTCTTCAGTAAAGTAGAAGATGCATTCTACAATAATGAACTCAGGCTGAATGGAGAAAAACTATGGAAGAAAAGTAGAACTGTAAGACTCTTTAACATTTAAATATTTTAATACAGTACAAGAAAATAACTAAACTGTGAGCTCTTCTCCTTCCTTTTACTTGGGGCAGAAGAAGCAGCTGCTAAATGGCTCTGCCATTTAGGTGAAGGGCATTGCTAACACCACTTCCAGCTTTCTCTGGGGGTACGGTGCTGTTCCTGGGGGTACGGTGCTGCTCCCTAAGGCAGATGGGTGACCTGTGGTATTGAAATAGGCTGAAAGCAAGGAGAAGGCAGGTGGCAACAAGAACAGAGCTTTATGTGTTGCTGAAGGAAGCGATGATAGATATGAGGTTGATGGATTTGGAGTGATTAAATCTGAGGTATTAGTGGAGTAGGCACATGGTTAAAGTTTGATGATAGAAAGGGACTGAAACTGAGGTAGCCCAGGAAAGGTTATTTTGTCTGTGAGAGAGCACACAACACACACACAGCCAAAGGGTTACAGGCTCAGCTGGCCACGTTCTTTCACAACAGAGCTCACCCAAATGGTGACCAGCATACCTCTACGTTCCCTTCAGGTGAGGGGGATCAGGTGGCATTACTGTGGTGAAAAGGCAGGAAGGAGAGAAGTTTTAGTTCCCATTCCCCTCAAGTTAGGGCTCGTTTTTAAAGGCATACTGCTGCTGTGGATTTTGCGAGGGGGCACAAACTGTTGACCCGCGCTGTTCTTTACAACAGTTTCGGGTGTTCTAAAAGAAGGAGGAGAATTTTGCATTTGGCTGCTTTGTGTCTGTATTGATAGAAGAAGATTGGCAGGAAACCCTATTTGGTAATAAACCTGTATGATAGCTTTTCCAGAGTTAGGCATTGGCTGTAATTCAGTAAGGGCAAAACTCCTGGCAGAGAAGGTCATGAGGAGACATTTAGTTGCTTATTGCCAGGGCTTTCCTAAAAGCTCACAGTGGAAGGACGGCTCTATAGTGGGTCTGGTGTAGCCTTCCCACTTCCCCCCCCCAGAGATTCAGGAGAACAAATGGCACGAAAGGAGCACCATTAATGTGGCCCCGACTGTGGGAATTTGTTTTCTCCAGAGAATGCTTACAATTGCTCATCTTCTCTTTCTATTTCCAGGTGAAAATTGGTGACACGCTGGATCTCTTAGTAGGTGAAGATAAAGAAACAGGAACTGCTGTAGTGATGCGGGTAGTCTTAAAAAAAGTATCTAACAAGACTGAGAGTGAAAAATACAGAGTAATTTTAAGACGTTGGAAAAACTTGAAGGTGCCCAAACAGGACGTACTGAAGTAGCGGGGGGATGCATGTGGCAGCATGAGATTTGTTTTGCAGAAAACCATATTGTTTGTTGTTAAATACGAATTTTGGTTAAACAAAATGACAGTACCCTTTTTTAAGGGCTCGTGTTAGAAATATCTCCCTCTGCTGTGTACATCAATGCTCCTGTGGTAAATGCCTGTCACTTCTTGCAGTTAGTTTTGTTTCATGATACTGTGGGATAAAATACTCTGCCCTCATATCTCCAGGCAGTTTCCTTACAGACGTTATATAAAATGACTCAATAAAGACAAATTTGATCACTGTTTAATTGCTGCCTGGTTTCTGTTAATCAGGTTATGTGAAAGCTGACGCCACAAGCAGCACTGCTTTCTTAGCTTTATTTCTAGATTCGTTACATAGTTTGTTTTTTTTTAATATTACATATACGTATGCGTAAAATTGCTTCCTTTTTAATTACTGATTTGATCCTGGTTAACAGTACCAACTCTGTGCTTTCATACACGTTGATGCAGTATAGAAAGATACTGATTGCAGCAGCATGTTCTTAAGCAGGAAACTTCACAATGACCGAGGATTTGTCAAGGCAGAGATCCTCTCTTCTCTCATGAAAAAGGTAGCTCAGGCAGGAGGCACACAGTTAACAGAAGAAAATGAGATCTTGGTTTTTTATTGCATACTGATGTCAGCGTGGCATTTAAAAGAGTATTTATCACTTAAGTGGCTGTAGAGATCTGATTGATCAAAGATCAGACAACACTGTGATTAGAAGTACATGCCTGTATTACAGCAGCAAAGTGCAGCCTTGGAGCTGGCGTCTCGAGTATTCACCCACACTTGTAATGTTGATCATACACTTTTTTCAACAGAAACAACAAACTCTATGAGCTATGTGGCATAGACAGAATTTTCATGTTTATAGGTGTTTAACATCTACACATCCAGGTGTGGTGTGTGTGTGTGCAAGGTGGGAGCATTCATTCAGCCCACGGTCTGTTCCCTACCAAGTGAGAAGAGCCCAGAGGTGAGAGCAGCCCAGATCAAGCAGCAGAAGCACACAGCAGTCTGCTTTTCCTTGCATGTTCCTGATATCTAAGTGGGCAGGCAAGAAGTTGTTGCTCACAAAAGAAATGTAAGGTATCAGACTATCACATGTATCTGGTACACAGTGATAAAGCAATGGCTGGATCCAATCCAGAAGGCTCTGCCTAGCACTGTCAGATTGCCCATGCAGAACCATGGCACTGGCATGGCACCAGGATGACCTGATAGCTTTGCGTGCTTCCCACACTGCAGTGTGTGCTGCAGGGAGGCCAGCCTGCCTTGCAGAGCAGGATCTCTGGTCATCCATGGGAAGACAGCAGGGAAATGCTCATAGAACTGGGCTGCTTCTGCCACCTGCATCAGTTTCTCAGTTCTAATGTCTACATAACAGAGTGATTTTAATCACTCGCTTTCTACTTGCTCCACAAAAGAAAAGGCAGTTATTTTTTCCATAGGGACAAGAGTAGCACCGAAGCATTCCTGGTTTCTGTTAGCTTCTGCAATGGCACACCAGAACCTCTAGCTTCTGTGAATTAATTACAGTGTTCAACGTGATGGTTGGTCTGCAACAGCCCTCATGGGGAAAGGGGTGTGGAGAGTCTGTGTATATGGTAGGGAGAGCAGCACAAATGTGAGTACTGCTGAAACTTAAAAATCTTCATCTCAATACTAGAGCATCCAGTGAACCTATAGACAAGCACTCCAAGGAGAACATGGGTTCTTAAATTATTGAGAGGGAACATAAGAGAAACAAGGGACAACATTATCTGCCACAGAAACGGACTCCTGGATTTTCCATACAAGGAGTAAAACCTCAGGAATAGGATGTGATCCTATCAGAGACTCACTCCTGCTGCTCCCACACACCTCAGCATTTTCTTTTCACAGGAAACCTTTGCAGACCGTGCTAACACACCGCCTTGGAGCTAACTGAAGTCACACGCTCCTGAAAGCGAATCATGATGGACGGAACGCATTGCCTTCTGAGGAGCTTCAGCACCAAGGCACAACACCACAAAGCGTGCCTGGAAACGGTGACAAACCGCTGTTTCACCATAATGAGATTTGTGAAGGAAATGGGGAATGATTATCTGACATTTGTGTGTGTGGGGAGATATTAATGAGGTGATCTTCCTCCAGCCTTTGACAATCACCATTTGTTTTGCTTACATCTATTAATGCAAATCTTAGAGCAACTGGACATGTGGTGATTTTGCCCCCTTTGTTTTTTTTAACTGATCGTGCTTTTCTTCTTTTTTTTTTTTTTTTTTTTAACTGAAAATTGTGTTTGTTTTTTTTTTTTAATTAGTCACATTTATCTTGTGAGGGGGAAGATTGGGGCAGGGAAGCATTCTCCAGAGCACCTTCATTTAATCTCTGTTACAGCTCTTTCCATAAGAACCGAGGGCCTTTCAGCTTGCCATTAATGAAAAGAAAAACGCTCAGAGGGGACTGCAGCCTCATCATGGAGTGAATCAGGAAGGAGAGCAAGCAGCAGCCTGCCCACACCACAGGCTTCTCCTGGTGCGATCAATAACCAGCAGAGACACCATTCAGAAAAATCACAAAAATAAAAAGGGATATGCTGGATGGAAATGATACAGCATGGGGGTAATGCCCTGCTCATCAGACATGCTACAAGGAAAGTATTCCAGATCTGAGGGGATGCTGATTTGGAGTTTGCTTCCAGCATTCTGCTGCAGGAGACCACCTCTCAGAGCAGTGCTTACACAGAGATGACCACGAGCATCGTGTAGCCCATAATTAAGACCATCCCTACTGGTGGGAAGTTAACATGAACGATTTCTGTAACAGGGAGGGTAACAGTGAGGTAACACTGCAAACATTAGGTATTTGTCAAGATTTCTGCTGGGACAAGAAATTAGATAGGAAGAACAAAGACTTGTGGATGGAGACTTATTTGTTTTTCTCAGCCTTACCAAGGACAACCCTAAGAGAGGGCACGAAAGCATCTCATTTCAGCAACTCATTTAAACAACTCCAAGTGCATTCCTCTTTCCCAGAATATTAGCAAGGTAAAAAACCTTGCAAACATACCTGCATTGGTGCCAACTGAATGGCCAGAACAATCACAAGAAAAACCTACGAAGTCAGAGATGAAGCTTTAGCAGTGACATTGGCAGGATTAGATTTACTCTGGAAGGCCATAAATGTGAACCTGCCCCATTGCCTTACCACAGATTTTAAATGCAATCAACAGAACTGTGCACCATAAGTGAGAACACCTGTCAGCCCATGCCATTACCTCAGCACAGGCAAGCTCCAGACATTGCATTTTCCAGCTGTTTCACAACCCTTTAATTGCTGAAACAAAAGCTAAATAACCAACAGAGCCTACACTTTATTCTCTGTGTCTCCTGGGGCTGTAGAATTAATAATGCTCCTTCCAGCATAAAATTAGTGTGCCTTTGTAGAGCGTTGAGGATGCAGTTCTGTTTCCCACTGCTGTACATAAATAACAATTCACAGAGACGAATGACCCACTCAAAAATGTATAAATGTACTATATATATCTGAGGGCAGGAAAAAGAGGTGCAAACATTTTCTAGAACATGAAACATTTGGTGGCTGTAATGTACAACAAAATGGTTGACTTCGTAAGTCAGGATCCTTCTCATTTCAAACCTTGTTACCTAAGCCAGCTGAATGCACTTAATAGGCAGAAAACAAACGTGCTTGATCTCCCTTTTGATGTTTCGTTTTACATCCTCTACAGAGCTTCTAAGAAAAGGTTTTAATTTGTGCAGGCTAGGAAAGGCAGAAAAATATAGAGCTGAGGTGTATTAATGTTCCTTTCAGGCTGTTAGAGGTGAGACATTCAAGCTGTATGTTGATAGGGACACGATACTCGCCTCAGCAGGGTGTACTGACCTGATAGGCAGAAGGCAACGCCGGTCTATAGGAAGTCAGTGTATGTACATTCCAGACATCTTCACACCTAGCAATCTTCCTGCTATTTTGAAGGGGGCAAGTTTGCTCCTCTACACAAAAGCCATCTGAAAGGCAGAAAAAATGGCTGCAGCAAAGCAGGGAGTTTTCGTTTATGTCTTCAGTTTGACTTGCTAAGATTACACAGGATCTTAGTTACAGCCTCTATAGGAAAAAGAACATGAATCTGTTCGTGTCACTGTACTCAGGAAATCACCAGACGACATTCCTCTTGTATAAAAATAATATACCTTTAATTTATTTACAGGACAGACCGACTGGATGAAGTGGCTGTACTTCGGATGCACTGCAGGAGCTTTTTTTTTTAGTGACCCCATGTCACTATTTGTATGTCTCTATTTTCTTCACAAAGCATACAGTCAAATCATGGAAGATTGGGAACAGGGAGACAAAGGAATGTACACAGCCATTAGACATAAGTTAAGAGAAAAAACAGCGAGGATCTTTCTGTACCCACTTTTGAAAATGCCATTTTAAAAGCTGAAAATCGCTTTTTCACTCATCAGTATGTAAGATAAACGGGCTGATTTTCGACGTGTCAGGAGATATTGCAAAATGACAACATCTACAGTAAAACCCAGTACGTCTTAAATTCACATGCTAGCTAGTAACACCTGCCAGTGGTACAACAGTTCAACGTTATCAACTTCTTTGGGAGCTTCAACATCACTGAGTGGTAAAACACATATGACATCAAGATAAGAAAAAATAATTATAAGGGAAAGCCACACTTTTCTTGCCATCTGGTGGGGCATTCACAACAGGTTGTTGATATTTTCTGTGATTTTACATCTCCCATACAAATGCATGTAAAAGACTTCACAGAGGCGCTCGGTAGCATACAGTTACATTAGAAGGTCTCAGTTTCTGGCACATTCAATTTGCTAAATTTATGCACTGAAATGAAAGATAAGATGCAGACATTGTGGTATCAGTTCTTCATCTTTGGTAAAACGTTTTCTTTTTATTTTAGCCATATTAGCTCCAATATCCATCTTGTGCATGGTGTGCTATTATTTCAACCAAACATTTAGATGGATACAAACAGTATCAGTGTATTGTTTAATACATTCATGACTTTCTTCATACATTCTTTGAGAATGTTGCTAGCATGTGGGGAAAATGAGCAAATGCTAATCTGTTATGATTTACTCCTGGTTTAACACACTATCCTTTCGCTAGTACTCACCATTAGGAAAAAAATGTTATTTTGCTTTTTAAAGGGAGAGATCAATATGACTCTAGGAGCAATAAATTCTAAAAATCTGAAGTAAAAATATCAAGTATTTTGTATTTTCTTACAAATGCTAAAATAGAAAATCACACTGGAACAGACTTCAAATTCGATACTATGACCCACTTGGGAACCATTAAAAAGGACCACAGAGAACATTAACAATTGCTCCGAGGCGTTCCAGTGACGGTCAGTACGCAGTCGCTGACTCTACTGACTCAAAAATACATACCTGACACTCTCTCATCATTTACATCGCCATTAAAAAAGAAGAAAGCTGTTTTAAAGCTGTGCTCTCCAGTGATAAATCATATAGTAGAGTCACAGTGGGTTCTGGGTGGCTTGTGTTACATATGAACATATTATTGATGCAAACTTGGCCGTATAAATCTAAGTTATACATACACAATTATGTCTCCAAATAGCTACTAATTACACTAAATCAGTTTGGCTAAGTGAGCGAGCTCAATATCCCTACATCTGAAAAATCCAGATGGTGCCACGCTGATGCAAAGAATGATGCAAACAGCTCATTCATGGGGACCCTGTAGCACTTCATTCCATCCCAAAACTAATCTTTGCGGGTACCTTTTATTTATGCAATTTGATCTTAATACTGGAAACCTTTGGAATCATCATTTTGATACAGTAAGATCTAAAAGTTTTTAAAGTCCTTGTTGCTTATCTAGTTACTCTTGTTTTACAGAGAGGCAAGCAGGCAGGCAGGCAATGGCAATACATTCCACAGGTGCTGGCTTGGGTCTGTGCTGCTGGCTCTGCTCTCACAAGCTACCTTCAGTCACGCCAACCGCGACACCGAGCAAAAAAGAAAACTCACAGGGGCATGATCAAGCTTGGCGTGCCAACGTAAAGAAACATTCACACTGTGTCTATGCTCACGTCTCAACTCTTCAATACTTCAATTCTTAGAATTTTTAGAAACACAACATGAGTAACAGTCAAAAACGGAGATCACACCGCTCTGACCCATTCTTGGACGTGGCATTACTATTTTCAGTATCTCAGTATCAATAAGAACAAAACACATTAAAGCTGTGATTTACTTAGAAGCAAAGTCAGACATTCCAGTGATTTCAATGAATATGGCACTTTCAAAAAGCATTAGTTTTGTAGATTTCGATGAAGTTTAAATTTCAAATTCCAAATGAACCAACATAATTGTGTATAAGGGTGAAATGAAATACTGCCCCTGACAAACACCACATTTAAAAAAAAACAACTTTATTATTAAAAAGTGTTAAAAAAGGGGGAAGCAGAAATGGGGAATGGCATAGTAGAGTTTCAATACATGTACTTGCACCAGTGAAAGCCATGCTCTTAATGAGTCATTATGAGCTCTGTCACCAACGACGTAGGATCTTTACCCATGTACAAACCTAGTAAGCCACTTCCCACTGCTGCAGTACCCACATAGATGCAACACACACGTTAAAATGCAACAAACTTAGTGCCTAGTTCTCCCGGATGCTGAGCAGCCCCAGCCTGACAGGCCCTTCAGCCTAAAACAAAGCATAATCCTGACAATAATTTAGTGGTCAAAGTCTTCGGAATTCAAAGAGCCCCTCACTTCTTTGCTTTCTTTGCTTTTTTCAGTATGTCACACTTTTTTCTGTTAGGACGCCGGCATCTTTCATCAATGCTCGGTATACATTCATAATGCCATACTTCTTCCATTTTCTCCACGGGGTAAACTGCTTCCACGTAATGGCGGATCAGCCTCAGTCTGATAGGGTCCAGCTGTTTTTTGTTACAAGCACCTGAATGGTTGTATTGCAGTCTGAGATTTTCGGGAGTAAAGAGTTCTGGGAAGAGTCTTACGAGAAGCCTGGCGGCGAAGTTTCCAACAGAAAGGCTCTGCTGTACGATCTCTCTTACCTCCTTATCAGTCAGCAAATACGGAGAAGGCACAGGGAAGTCTGGGTTAGGAATAACGAGTTCATCAAGTGGTATCTTGCAAAAATCCTTGCTGCTCCTTTCGGGTGGCAGTGGCGGCCCTTCAAACTCCTCTCGAAACCTTTCAGGGTTTATTGCATAGCTGAGGAACTCCCTCCTCTCGGGCCCTGGCATGTGGACCTTCCGCTGCTGCTGGTACGAGCGCCGTTGCTCTGTGTCCCTTCGCCGACACCTCTCATCGAGCTTCCCAACAAACTCCAGCATCCACACTCTGTCATTCTTTGCCCTTGGGTACAGTATCTGCACGTAATGCCGAATTAATTTAATTCTAGTGGGATCAAGCTGCTTCTTCCCCAAAGACCCACTACAGTTGTATTGCTTCCGTAAGTTTTCATGAGTAAACAGCTCAGGAAACAAGAGAACAAGCAGCCGAGAAGCAAAGTTGCCTATGGAAAGACTGCTTTCGTAGATGTTTTTAATCTGTTCTTTGTTCAATAGGTAATCGGGAACAGGGACATCAAAATCAGGAGGGGGAAAGTCAAGTTTGTCAAAGTCAATGGGCACAAGCCATATTTTTTTTGAGCGTCTACCTGGTTTTTCATATTCAAAGCTGTCTTCCACTTTTATGATCGATACGTCATCCGGTAAACTGGAAGAGTCGTAACAGTCATCTCTCAGCTGATCACATTCACTTCCATCCATATATACATTTTCAAGTTCTTCATTTATTCGCTGAACGCATTGCTGCAACCAAGCTTCCTCTTCTTGTACATCTGGAAAGTAAATTTCAGTGTACCTACGGATTATCTGAAGCCGATGAGGATCAAGCAGTTGCTTCCCAGAGTCCCCATAGCAGCTGTACCTTTCGGCTAATTTTCTGTGGTCAAAGAGTTCTGGAAACAGTCTATGTAACAAAAAAACACAAAATTCCCCCGGAGAAGAAGCTTCATCTAAAAATTCATTGAGATCCTGAGCATCTAGAATGTAGTCTGAGGCAATGGCATTACTCCTGTCCAAGGACAAAGCTTCTTCTTGCTCTTTATCCTCAAGAAAATGAGAGGAATCCACCTGTTCAGTCTCATAAAAACTGGAGGACTGCACATTTTGTGGGTTATTTTCCAATTCCCTTTGAGCCCAAAATCTATTGAAAAAATCATTCAGTTGAGGCAAACACTCCACCTGCCACACAGCTGTACTCTTCACAGAAGGATAACAGACTTCCACATAGCTACGGATAAGCTGCAGATGGAGAGACTCCAGCTTCCTCTTGTTAGGAAAGCCACAGGCACTGCAGCTCCTGTTGAACTCGTCGTCGCTGAAGAGCTCTGGGAAGAGTTGTACCAGTAAGCGACAGGCAAGGTCTCCACCTGATGTGCTTTGATCCATGAGCTGTTTGAGCTCAGCAGAAGTCAGCGTGTACTCAGGGGGAGGCTTGAAATCTGCCACACACTCCACTGGACTGACTTGCTTTTTGATTCTGCTCACCTCCAGAGACAGAAGGTCAACCTTATTGTGAAGCTGGGTCATATTGGAACTGAGAGTGTTAAGTGTGAAGAACATTTTCTGTATCAAAGAATATATATTTGGGTCAGACTCGACAGCAACAGCCGCTGCAGCGAGGGCTGCAGCAGAGTCCCTTTTGCGCTGGTCATTCAAAGTCCGAAGATGCGAGGGACTGCTGGGGCTGATTTTTTCATACAAGTCATAAGAGGCAAACTGCTCTGCTCCCGGTGCATTCTTCTTCTCTGTAATTTTGTGTGAGATGCCATACAGGGGTTTCTTGTAAGATGAAGTGGTTATGTCGCTGAAGGGTTCTTCCTCACAGAGCCACGTTATATTAGGATTCTTGTTCTTGCTTGGCTGCTCTGCATTTACCTGAGTGGGTGAGCCAGTATCTCTGTTCTTCATGTTTGAATTGGAGCCCTTTGAATGAATAAATATTGTATTAGTAAGACTGCTTTAAAAATATCAGTTATAGATGTTTCCCCCTTAAGCAGGCATTGTTACATAAAAGTTCAAGGTCAAACTGTCTCCAGAAGATTCAGTTGTGTTACATACATCAAATTAATAAATCCATTAGTAAAATAAGAAAAATACAGGAAAGTACTGTTTTTGTTTTATTATTATTATTATTTTGTCTTGGCTCATGGATTTCTCCACAGGCTAGAAATTAAATTATAATAACCCTTAGCACTCTTTTCCCACTGAGTTCTAAATACTCTCCCAAATTAAGTATCATTATGCATATGTGTACGAGGATCTCGAGCTGCAGAGAACTCGGGTGGCAACAAGTCAGCAGGAGAGCCAAGAATAGAACTTAGATTTTCTGACTCTTCGTCCTGTGACCTTGCCACTGCTTCCACCACCTGCATTTAACATTCTTAGTGCTCTCCGTATGTTAGCTTTTGAAAATGCCATGAAGGCTGTAACTAAAACTCTCATTCTCTTCTTGCTCATGTCAGAGGTTTATAAAGTTGTTTCACTTTATTTTTTTTTATCTTCAGAGTGGTGCACAAATCTTAAAAAAATTCTATGAGTAAAATATTAAACATTCTTTAATGTAAATAATAAAAACTTTTTTCTTCATGTGAAAATTATCTTGACATCGCAATTTTTAAAAGGCAATTTTATTTCTGAAGGGCAGAGAAGTTTAATTCCCAGTTTTCTAAATAATCTATACAAAATACAGCAACAAACTCTCAAGAAATTCCTGCTCTTGATCATCTCAATCTCTTCCTCCTTTGAAATCTGAAGCAAATACTTTCAGCTGCTCATAGTAACTAAATAGGGCTTGAGGATTGTTCTGGTTTGGGGTTTTTTGGGTTAATTTTTTTTTTTTTTTTTGCAAACACATGGATATTGCAGATAATTCTTATTAAGTAGACACGACAAAATCAAAATTCAACATACAGATTCCAAACATGAGAAAACACTCACAGATTTTAGAAAAGACTGTACTGAAACATTTTGGCATGGCTTGTTCCACAATAGATCAATTTGATTAAAAAAAAAAAATACAGAATTTGCATTCAAGGATTATAACAGATGGAATGCAGACTTCAGGTCTGAGCTGAGAACCATAAGCAATTTGAAATGCTAGCAAAGACTCCAGCGCATTCTGCAATGAGGAGCTAGAATTAAGGTTCCTTTCTGAAAAGCAGAACAGTAACAGTCATTAAATTAATCTGTCCCTAGGTGTCCTCCTACTTGGCATCTGCCTATTTTAGTGACAAACTGAATCTAATTACTTTTCAATTTCTAAAGCAGTCAGTGCATGCTTAAACAGAACAAGCTGTTTTCTACTCCAAGTTTAGGAACCAGCAGACCCAATGAAATTGGAGTTGTTTCTGCTCTCATTCACATCACGCAGCCCTACACATGAAAACCTGTGCATACGTTCAAGGCTGTGTGGATGGACAGATGATAAATGAAAGCATAATGTAAAAGTCCAAAGAATCCATAGCAGTGGTGGTGCTTAGGACAGCTGACTTTCAGGTTCCATTTATTAGACTGTACCTCCAATCCCACTTGTCTTAGAGCCCATTTGCTGTGGTGCAGCAGGAAGCCAGAGCTGCAGACCACCACCAGCACATGGTACGACACACCCCACCTACATCAGCATCTCCATGACTTATAACACACTGAAGCACCAGAGGCTGATCTGCAGACAGACTGCCACCCAAACTGCTCCCAGCCCATGGCCAGCTCCCACAATGGGGCTGTGGTTAGCACAGATGCCCTGTACTTGTCAGTGGAGGAACAGAGGCACTTCCAGCTGATAGTTTAGCTTTCCAAGCAGACATCACCTGGTGGCAGGTCAGGGCAATCCTCCCAGACAACACAGACCTATGGGTACCTCTGTCTCCCAGTGAGTCCCCAGTCTGAGCTAAAAAACAAACCAACAACCTTCTTTTTACCATTTCAGACCAAAGGAGAAAACAAAGCTGCAATTCTGGAGAATCACAGAATAATAGAATGGCCTGTGTTGAAAAGGATCATCTAGCTTCAATCCCCTTTGCCATAGGCAGGGTCACGAGCCACTAGACCAGGCTGCCCAGAGCCACATCCAGCCTGGATGTGAATGTAGAATTTTTTATTTTTTTTTTCATATAATGTGAAATCTGCTACCCAAGTAGCAAGATACCTTTTGGATAACACCCCTGTTCCCAGAGAGTATCCCAAATATTCCCTCACACACATAGTATGATTCATTCAGCTCCTTCTTTACCAAATAGCTTGTCTAGGTCACCAACAGTCTGCTAGTTCCCCTCAAGAGCTCCTGCCGTTCTTTCCCTGTTTAATTATACAACAAAACTTGGCAATGTGAGGGTTCCTCCGATCAGCGCACACCTCACGCACAGTGCTGGGACAAAGCATGATTTGGCTGTGTACCCAGCAGCACAGACTCACTGCCTTCAGTATCTTACTGCACCCTCAGGCCTGGATGCAGGGTGCTGGGGGAAGGCAGTGGTCGTGCAGGAGCAGGGCTGGGCCCCGCCACCAACAGCTCAGCACTGCCACAGGGACCTGGGCATCTGCCTTGTAGAGAAATATACTCAGCGTTCGACTAATGGATGACAACAAGTTGGGGCCCATGCCTCAGCACTCTCCATGTCAGAAGTTTTCTTGTCATCTTTCCCTTTTGCTTTGCTTTGTTTTTATACAGGTTCCAGCTGGAAACAGCACTACTCACAGCATAAACACAGGGCTTTGGGTACATTCTCCAATTAAGTTAGTATTTAATATATTTTTAACTATATTTCTGTAATTTTTAAAGAAAAATCTTTAGTGGCAATTAGCTTATTTCAGAAAATGCTATTCTGATTTAGGATGAACAATTTTAATGTACTATCAATAATACAAGCAAACGAAAGTTTCTGTAAGATTAAATATACATAACCTAGTGCTGCTTTTTATATTATATTCGCATAGCAAGTTGTTGGACTCTATATGTTCTTTGAAGATGTCCAAAATGCAGCATTTTGGTAAACACTGACCAACACAACTGACTGTGAAATAATCTTCCATATTACCTCTCAGTGTCCTAACCGATCTTTAAAAGTTGTTTAGTTATTGCCCTCCTCAGTGTGAAAGCCCAGGTAATTTATGAGCTTTATCACGCTTTATACACAAAATCTCAATGCCCATAAGAATAAAGAACAAAACATTTTAGCATATGAATAATAAGCATAAATATGTCTAAGCAAGAAACACAGAAAACAATTCCATCAAATACTTCAGCTTGGAAACGTCTTGCATGGAAATTATTAAAATTTACATTCTCCTACATGAGATTTCTCTAAAATTATTTTTATGGAATGTAGAAAAACATTGATTTCTGGCTTAAATCAGAATAATTTTTTTTAAAGTGAAATGTCTTCTGACAGGAAGTCACTGAGTAATATCAACACCAGCCTGAGAGTACAATTATGTAGAAGAAAAAGTACAGCTCTAATTGCATTACAGATAGATGTCTATGTGAAACGTAACACAACCAGAATACTCTGAAAAAATATTTTGTTCTCTGTTTAAGCAGAAATAGTTAATGAAGTCATCAACTAAAGCAAAATATTTGCACTAGAAAAGCAGTACACTTTAAAAATGTTGTTAGGATTGAGGACTGGCTTTGGTTGGTTATTTAACTAAACTTGCTGATTCACTGGGGTCAGCTGAGAGTGAGTTTTTTTCATCGTTGTAACTGGGTCACTTTCTGACATAATAAATTCAAGGTTAATTCATTTCAAATAAAATTTTAAAATGTATTAAAAGCAACCAGCAAAACACAAAGAAAGCACACTTCAGAGACCAGAAAGTAGTTCTTTTAAGATTTTGAATGTAAGTAAAATAATTGTAAAAAGTAGAAGAGAAAGGGAAAAAAAGAAAGAAACAGTGTTATAAGATTAAAACCTACCTACCACAGGCACTCAGGAGAAAAAACAGAGACAGAGCTCTGAGAAGTCAGAGAGATGACAGGCATGAAAAACAAATACGAAGAGCCACAGCTAGAAAGGAGAAACGAAATGCACAAATGCAACTCGGGATAACTGGCTAAGTGGCAGAACAGCAGAAAAGGATATGTGCATTAGAGTAGGTCATAAACTAAATATAACCCCAGGATTGAAGTTATTCGAAAGAGGTTGAATTTGAATCTAGGTTATTTTAAAGAAGTGCTGAGTGTGAAAAACAGGAGGTCATTATAGTGCTCTATAGGGCGTTAGGAGAGATGTGACAATCCCACACTGAACACGACTCTTCTGGGAATCTCAAAGAGAACAACAAAAACATAAGGGGACTCCTGGAGAGGAGCTGAGGAAATAGAATTTCAGTACTAGGAAAAGAAGGGCCAAGCATGGATGGCTCTATAATTTTTTTATTTTTTTTTAAAAGGAACTGAAGGTCACCGCTCTCCCCACTGCAAAGAACAAGGGCAAAGAGAAACCTGTGCAGTTTCAGCAAAGATTAATGAAAACACCTCTGGTTATTAGGGAGGTGAAACACTAGAAGGGGATAACTGAAGAGATCTGGAACCTCCTTCACTGGCTGGACAAATGTATGGATTGCCACAACTGGGATGCTGCAGAAGTTGCAATACATGCCATTCCAGGTGTGCTGGAGGGTTCTGCATCCCCGTGTTTTTCTTTTTTGAGTAATATGCAAATTTATACATGTCACACTGACATCAAAATCTGTGTCATGGAATGATGAGAATTACAGCCCTGGTGCTACTGCCACTGAGGATCCAGCTGAAGGACTGTGTGACGTGAGAGAGGCTGTAACCACAGTCATACCGAGTTATGCCAAACCCCTACCTGCTCCTACATTCTCTGAAAAACAAAAGTATACTTCAAATGAATGAATTAACCTATAAGTGTATGTCATTGATACAATTGCTCCCAAGTTAAAGAAATGCCCAGACAAATTTTGTGTGCAAACTGGGTCAAGAGAAGCCATATTTGACTCCAACTCATCACTAATGCAAATCTTATTAAATGACTTGCATTTTTGCTTATAACAGCACTGAATTTAGCCTATAAAATATGAACAGAAAAATCACACAGTCATGTATAGAGAAGTCACCTCTTGTGTAAAGCGTCTTTTCTTCACACTGGGTAAGACATCTTGCTGGCTCCCTGAACCATCACAACCAAGTGAGGTCTGTTTCCGTTTGTTGGAATCCTGTAGGCAAGTAACTGCGCCATCCACTGAGTGTTTCTCAGAAGATCTGGATGTTACCGAGCAGTCTAGAGCTTCATCTTCATTTTCTGTTTCTACTTTCACAATATTTTTTTTAGGAATTTTTACTGGAAAAAGAGAAGGTTTAGAAAGATAAAGCACTCTCTCCGGAAAACCATGACAGCCTTAATACAATCTTTCGTGTTTTGTTTCTTTTTATGAAAATGTGTTTTGAAGAACATCATAATTTTTTTTTTTTTTTTGACTTGCACAATAAGTGTATGCTGAGGCCACCCCAAAGTCAAGGTTTTATTATGCTAGGAACCATACAGTCATCCAGTAAACGACAGTTTCTTCCCCGAAGAAGAGTTTTAAAGCATAAACAAAGTTACAGTAGGAAGATTTTTCTGGAGGGGAAGGAAGGATGCAGAGCAGAAAATACAATGAATAACAAAGACAATGGTGCATTTTAGATAGCTTTTCAGAAACTGTTAATGTAGTTTGTCCTGATCCAAGCGCATTCTTTATCAGATTACAAAGCTTCATTTCAACAAGTATTTTTGCCTGAGCAGAAATTACACAACGTATGATTTTTTACCTTCATCGTCATCAGTGATTTCAGCTGAGTTCATCTTCTATCTCACTAAGGAACAAAACAAAAACACAGATATCAGCATCTTCTGGAAACAAGACACACCTACACGTGTTTTTGTGATTCCTTTTACTGTCCCGCCATTGTGCATTACCAGCCCGCGGATAATTTCCAACCTCTATTTTTGGAGTCACCAGCTATTTTCAATAAATTTCACAACCTGTAGACCTGTAAACACACAACCTATACTGCAGACAACATACAGAAGCAGGAACATATTGAAAATGACACACGTTTTTTCTGGTACAAAGCAAAGTGGAAGTCACTTCACTCGTATTCATAAAGTCTCTTGTCAGTACAGAAATGAAAGTTAACTGCAGTCAGTTCTCTCAGCCTGTTGCCACATCTTAACACGGTCAAATGCTTTTATGTTGTTGTTCTGTGTGACCCTGAGTCACAGAATGGAAACTCACCATAAAACAGAACACATGTATGTTGGAGTAAGTTTTCAATTACAAATCCTTGATCTCTTGTTGTGGATTGCATAAATTGGAATAGAGAATCTGCAGACCTGCAATAATTACTTTTCTTCCTACTGCAAAACAATAGCCTCTAATAGTGTAAGAATGTTGCTGGGTTTCTTTGTAAGGATAAACAAATAATCCATACTATCCTAACATAATTTCAGCATTATTTCCCATATCATAGAACAGCTTGGGTAGGAAGGGACGTTACAGATCATACAGAAGACTCAGCTGTATTTCTGTCTCCTTAGGAACTAATTTGGCAAATCACTTGGGATAAGCATCAGTCTGTGGATGTGTTCCTGAAAGATACTCTAAAGCCTTTGGAGATCTACAAAGCAAACAACCTAATCAGATCTTACTGCCCTTAGGAGGCACACAGCTGCAACCTGACACCCTTAACTTGTAAACCAGTGACTGAAGAGCTGTCACACATCTCTCATGATCACCTACTGTAGCCTCATGTTTAATTGGCCGCAGATTATAATTACGTTTTCCACAGTCAGACTCCTTTTTAATATGGCTGTCTTTCAACCTTTCCTGCAGATCCCTTAACTGAGGGAGCAAGTGAATAAAGCAAACAGCCCATCAAAAGCTTACGTATAGCCCATGAGAGGGAATTATAAAGAAATCTAAAAAGAAACCGGAGTGGGGAGGGACAAGAGTCTGCTTTAGAACAAAAAATAATCTTTACCTTACTTTCAAAGCACTGAAGCTTTTTTTTTCCTTAAATAATCTCACAATATTGTTAAAAAAATTGTGCAAACACTTGAATATTGCACCACTAGGCATTTCTGTCACCAACTGATGGCTGCTAATGGTAAGCACGGGATCACACTCAGAAAGTTTCGTACGACTGTAAAGCAATGGGTGGCACACACACATCCAAACAAAAGATGCACGGAGTTATAATCTGCTCATCCTAGGCAACTTCTTAAGCATAGCATCTTCTGACACACTCGTCCTGAGCATGGCCCTTGTATGCAGCCCTGTAGAAAGCATCCTTAAGAAGAGAATGTCTTCATCTCATCAACAGAAAAACATATGCCTCAGTTATACAGAGCTACACTACAAACCCTTTAGCTAGCGGCTGCTCTTACCATAATTTCAGAATTTGTGTTTGAGCTGATCCATGCACAACTCACACCAGCTTAACGGTACTAAAACCACTGTGCTTACACTTCAGCAAACTGCAGAGACAAAACAGCACGAAATACACGTGACCCACACCACCTGCTAAACCACCTGGTAAAAACCAGTGAGGATTAATACCAGGTCTTAACAACAGCATTTGTGAAATCAGACAGCCACTACAGTTCCTTATGAAAAATCCTAAGACAGCATACTTAATATTACTGTACTTCACCAGAAAGCTATGTGGGACTTGAAGAAGAGCACATCATACTAAGCATCTGTATTTGCCCCAGTGTCTCAGATACGCTGACATTCAGCCTCCAGACCTTTCTTCTACCTTAGTTCACAGCAATAGGCTTAGCTTTAAGGGACATGAGCTGTGACACACACAGCATTTTTGTCAGGGCCAGAGGTGAGAGCAAGCAAACACACTGATAGCACTGCAGCAAAGCATTCTGTAACGGAAATCAAAGTGTTAGAGCTCCCCAGCCCAATCCTGGACCGCTCTGTTAGAGCAGAGCACTAACAGCTGGTATGCTGGTAAACACAGAGCCAGGACAAAAGAACGTAAAGGCAGTGCTGGGAGGAATGATGCAACATATTGAGAGGATATACAGAATGATTTTTTTCTTCTAACTGTGACTATAATTGCTATTCAAACAGGAGACCGTGTTAGGAGAACTTCTCTAGGAAAATACTAGCAAATTGCATGTAGAAGATAAACAAGAATCTAAATGATCGCTATTTAAACCTGGAAAAGAAGTAAAAACTGAATCAAAGCACACACCCTGGTTAACAGTTAACTTTCTAAACATCAAGCAGGCCAAGCAATCCCCAGTTCGGGTCAAATGTTGAGTTCGAACATTTTGTCCCACGCGTTTGAAACACAGTGCTGTAACTTAGTTTTAAATTACCTTTTGATCTGAAAATTGCCAGAATACAATTAGAAGCAGATAGTGAAAAGAACATCAGACTCAATGACTAGACTTTCGTTTGAGCTCTCGGATATCAAACAAAGCATGAGCTCCAAACTGTTCCTTCTTGGGAGTCCTAGTAATCTCTCTCTCCTTATCTGGTTTCCTCTGTTACGATATTTGTAAAAACATGGGCATTACGAGAAAATTAACCACAGACAGCAGCTTCTATTGAGAGTGAGGAGTCAGCTGCCCCTGTAATTTCCTGCCACACAGCCCCACCTGCTTCCCGTCAGGCATGGCTGCTCACCTCATCCTCCACTGAGCTTCTTCAGCTTGATAAACTAACATAAAACAATTCACTTCTTTTTTTTTGATGGGTTGCTTTTCTTCTAATCCAGAGAGACAGTGTGTAAGGCAAGCAACCAGACCTGGCTCCAAGCACACGTCAGGTCTGGAATGGGAAGGAGGAGCAGAAATCTCTCTGACACCAACACGTCACTGGCACGGTTCAACTACTCCACACCATCACCTCACTTCAAATGTAGGTTGCAGCTGAACCGTGAGCAAGGGGTGTGAAGACAGCAAGTAATGCAGAGCTGCTGCTATAGGCCAGGAGGCCACATGGGCAGGTCCATGTGCAGGTACGTGTGCCTGCCCAGGTATGGCTAGCATCAGTCTGGCTGGGTGCTTCACGTTCTCTGCAATGCAGTTTGCAGAGTGTAGGGGAATAACAATTATTTCTGCGGTAGAAAAGGCATCATTCTGGTCCAGACTGTGCAAATATAAAGGCTGGAGAAGAAAAGAGGAACATGGGATGCAACAAGTGCAAAAAGTTATCATGAAAGAAAATCTTTCCTATCTAAACTGTTTTGATAACTCTTATACATAGCTGCAGAGATACTTGTACCAAGCACAAGTGGGTGTCATGAACCTGTACAATTTCAGCTCTCACCTTGGAAGACGTAAGCACTCCTTTCAGCTCAGTCCTCTAGACTTTTGAAACAGTTAAAAAAGATGAACCTTAGAGGACTCTTCTTAAGGTAGTGACAGCTTTGTTTTTCTAAGAAACGTGAATAATATCTCAATTAGCAATCAGATAAAGACAAAACTATTCATTTCATCCTAATACACGGATGAGCTTATTTGCAGAGAACTGATTCAATACGCAGCATCGTGCACTCCTGCTGCAAGTTCAAGCTACTTCAAACAAATAAGCATACATTACACTCAAACTCTAGACATTAATCTAAGCATTTTATATGCAATCTCGAGACTTGCACCAAGATCCAGAAATCCCACTCAGCTACCCGAATCACAGAATGGCCCACGTTAGAAGGGATCTCAATGATCATGAAGCTCCAACTCCCCTGCCACAGGCAAAGCCCCCAACCTCCCCATTTAATACTAGACCAGGATGCCCAGGGCCCCACCCAACCTGGCCTTGAACACCTCCAGGGACGGGGCATCCACAGCCTCCCTGGGCAGCCTGTTCCAGCACCTCACCACTCTCACAGTAAAGAACTTGCTTCTGACATCCAACCTAAATTTTCCCTCCTCCTTACAGCTTCTAGACATCAAGTTTCTGGTGGAGCACATACACAAAACCCTAAGAGTCCTACATGAGGAATTACTCTGCTCAGATTCAATAGAAAGACTTTGGTGCTTCAGCACTCTCACGGAGGGCAGCCACAAATGAGCACAAGGCATTTCACTTAACAGTGGTACAATGGTTAAAGAGGTATTCGGGAAATTTTTTATTTTCCTGCTATTGATTTCACACTGGAGACAATACTCAGGTCCCCAGATCCCAGACAAGTGGCCTCATCACCAGGTGATGGACACGCAGGGCAGGCTGCAAGGCAAGCTTGGGCATGAGGAAGTAAGCAAAGAAGGGAGTGTCCCAGGGTTCCTTGGCTGCCACTACTGGCCAGATCTCCCTCCCACAGACCCTGTCCTCATCAGATCTCATCAGATTAGCCAAGGGAAAGGGACAATTCAATAAAGGAAAAGAACTTTATCTAATTCCACTCACATCACTTAGGCACATGATTCCATTTAGTAACATCCAACTGATAACACAGAATTACAGAATCATAGTAGTTGGAAGGGACCACTGGAGATCATCTAGGCTGACCCCTGCTAAAGCTGCAACCTACAGCAACTTGCAGAAAAAAGTGTCCAGGCAAGTTTTTAAATATCTCCATAGAAGATCTCTCTGGGCAGCTTATTCCAGTGCTCCATCACTCTCAAAGTTTTTCCTCATGTTCATATGGAACTTTATGTATTCCAGTTTGTGCCCACTGCCCCTGGTCACTTGGCATCAACGAAAGGAGCCTGACCCTACCTATTTGGAGCCCTTCCTTTAGATATTTATAATCATTGATAAGATCCCCTCTCAGTCTTCTCCAGGCTGAGCAGTCCCATGCCACTCAGCCTTTCCTCACAAGTGAGATGCCCCAAGCCCCTCATCGTCTTTGTAG